GGGGGAGGGGATAGGATTATAAAAACTGGCCTTCATTCAATCACCTGGGCATCAGTCATTAAGAAGACAACAGGGACATTCTTGAGTCCCGTTTTGGTGTACAAAGTTGCCATATGCGCCTTGAGATCCGACATAGTGTAGTTGCGTCGTAGGACAATCTGGGAGACCTCAAATCCGACGATGTAGGAGGCGAGTCTAGACAACGACTGTTTTCCAGACCCGCCAACTCCAATGAGCAGACAGTTGCCCCGAGGCATTTCCAGGATTCTACACACTCGCATCACATGCTCCACAGCATCACCGAAGAGGACCAGATTCATAGCTGCATTGGATTCATTGTAGATCTCGAGACCTTCGACAAGCACCTGCGTTATGTGTTCCATTGACCGGATCTGTGCGTACTGCTTGTCGGCGTCCAGACCTCGACCAAAGTGACAAAGAAGGGTCGGTTCAGCGGCCAGATCATCTGGAGATACTTCATTGAAGACGTTGGTGATACCGTTGGTGATTATACCCACTGCTTGCTTGATGTCGTTCTTAGAGATCATCTTGTCGGAGTAGACCCGCATCGCCTCGTGGCGATAGAGGCGGAGGATACTCAAATCTGTTGTGAATACTTCAGCTTCAGAGAAGAGCATCCCCTACAATCAAGGGAAAATGCAAGTAGAGACGTCACATTTTAACTTTCCCTTTTGAAGATCATACCTGAAAAATGTTGGACAGATCCCGTAGATTAAAGACATAGTGGAAGCACACCGCAGTAGGTAGGAAGGTGGACGTGATTTTGTTGTGAATTGCGATAGCCACAGTGATCAGACCTGACGCCATCTTGACAATGGAGGGGGCCATGTTGCTGTTCCTGAAGTGCTGGCTCATAATGGTCGTGTAGATGGACTGGACAGCCGACTCGTCGGGGAAGGAGAGTGCAAGGGTGCAGAAGTGACGTTGAAGTCGATCTTGAATAGTGAAACTGCCTACCGTGGGATTCATGGCTGCCACGTACTGGGTCTTGTGGATCACCTTCAGGGTCAGCTTTGTACGATCGTAGAAGTGCTTGTGGTCAATGTGTTGACGCATTAGAGTGTGCGGCTGAACTGTGAAGTACTTGTCCACCTAGACGCCACCACGATACAAACAACAGTCAGGGGGGGATTAGGGTCCTTCGGTTTCTCTTTTTCGGTACTTACAGTAATATTGAGATCCTCTCTAATACCAGATGATCACTAAAACCGGTTTACATACTACTAGGACCGAGGTTTCAAGTACTACTTCTGCCCTAAGCCCTTCAAAAGTCGTAGCAATGCCAAGAATAGACATCTATGCTTCCTAGAGGAGGGGAATTAAGAGCTTGCCTTGTCCAGAGACAGGAGGACACCTCCATTACCCACTCTACCCCGCTCATAATATGAGGAGCTTATCAGTTAAGCAACAGCATGGATTGCAAGGGGAAAAGCACTAGCCTCAGGCATGTTGAGATCATCAATGAAGTAGATCATCCTAAATTGGCCCGGTGGAGCGTAATTCTTCCCGGCCTTCTTCTCCAAACTCTTGTCCAAAATCTCCTGAAGCATCATACTGGTGGTGTAGAAGTTGAAGGAGATGTTCTTCACAATGAACACCTCACTACTGAGGTGTGCAAACATGTCCTGCAGAATGTTCGACTTTCCTGTTCCGGCTGCACCCACCAACATGACGGGCCTGCCTGATTGGATCAATTTGTCCAAGAAGTACTGCACACGGACAGTTTCCACAGTTGGAACGAGACAATTCTACACAAAGCAGAATGATGGGATTTTCACATCCCACTCGGAAGTGCAACAGTTGATAATGTTCAACCCACCTGTAGCGGTTGATTCTCCTCCCTCTCGTAGGGTTTGAGGAGCGAGCTCCACGGCTCGAATTTGCGGCTCGTAAGGCTCCAAAAGAAGTCAAAGATGGTTCCGTTGGAAGGAAATTTAACCGATTTGAACTCATTCACCCACCACTTATGAAACTCTTGTCGGTGATCTGACATTTGATCCTTAAATAGGGCCCCTCCCACGGCCCATACACAGCAGAAACAGAAAAGACCTTCATAGTTCTCCTTGGTGAATTCGCGGTGATCCTTGGAGCTCTTCTGTGCGTCCAGCATGCTCTCAAGTAGGTAGCAGAGCATGTTGACATGGGCCAAATCGGGTATAGTGGTGATCTTTTTAAACTTCGTGTTACAGATCTCGAGGCAAGGACCGACGTACTTGTCAAAGCAAATTGACAAAGCGGGACGTTCGGTGCGAGAAAGGACTTTGTTGTTCTTCACACGACTGTCCAGCCAGCTGTGAACATACCTGAAGGCAATAGTGGTATTTCATCGTCTAATTTGGGGGTGGAATGGTTTGAAAACGCGCTTTGCCTCATATTTACTTACGGTAGCCATCCCAGATCGCTGGCATTGATGTAGAGTATACCGGCTCGAGAGACGGTAGCAGGAGTAGCTGTCTTCAGATGGCTAATTTCAAACAGAAGACGCATTGTCGGTGTGAGAGGAATTCGCTCATTACTAGCCAGGGTGAGAATCTTGTTGTCATCCATCACAGTGTTCAGTGACTCAATCCACATTGGGTCAATGTCACCGTCCAGCACTATCCACTTTGGTCCCTTGTGAGTCAGGTTCGCCATGTCTCGCATGATCGTTGAGAAGAGACCTAAACAAAGTCATAATCACCATCAAGAGAACTCACCATCTTTCCACTCTCTGGTGGCAGGATTAATGACACCAAAGAGTTCATCATTTGTCACGGCCTTGGGGTCAAGGTCAATAGCAGTGGGTGTCCGGCCATTCATGAGGTGAGTGTGATAGAGGGTACGCCAGACCTCGCTTTTTCCTGCCCCTGCACCGCCATTGATAAAGACGGAGTGACGGACCGCAAAAAGTTCGTCCAGTTGCACAACCTGCCATGCAAGGGCACAAAATGCACCAAATAGGATGTTTGATTGACTAGTGCATCAAAGGTAACGATGACCCTCCATGTCACCAGTCTTCCAGCTCAATATACAACCATAAAAAGAAACCCAGACACTTTCCGCCTCCTTTTTACCAGGCATGTAGGCTGATAATTCCTTCAGGAGTAAATCAGGTGCTACGCCAAACCTTGACGCCTCTCACCTTAAGAATGAATGCATCCTCAGTCTGCAAACCTAGATCCAGAGTAGCTTTCTTCACCTCCTCCTCCAGCTTGACATTCCGTTTTCTCGGGGCTTCAAGAGCAGGGAATAGATCCCTGATAAGACCCAGGAAGACGGGCAGATCATCGGTGATGATCTTGGGGGTATTAAAGTCACGCAGCGCCCGCATTAGTACCGCATCCTCAGCCATCTCGCGATTACCCCGCTTCAGTGAGCCTGCCACCACTAGCACTGACTTGATGGCCCGCAAGCCCCAATCGTAGTGGTCCTGCTTGGAGAGCAGTTCCTTGCACAACTCGTAGAGTGTGATGAATTTACGCGCTAGAATGCGGGCACTGAGAAAGCCCTCTGCTACCAACATAATCTCGCAGATCAGACCGAAATCAGGCACCACCATCGCACAGGGGCTAGAGAGAGTAAATAGAGCTCGTCAGTTCTCTCATTCATTCCGTAGTTCTTTAGGCAGTGAACAGACTAGCTATTACCATGGCTCCTGAATTCCGGCGTCAAATTTATCGGTACACCTTCGCACAGACTACTTATATTTCATAACTCACCGTAGGTGGAAAAGGCAGTTATATAATTTTTCAAAGGGGAGATTAACTAATTTAGGTAAATCAGATGATTCAAGAGCACAAAACCATTTTTTCGATGATCAGATGTATGAATTACCATAACCGAGAGGCCAAGAAAACGACACCAACACCGATTACCTTCCACTACGACGTCGCTTGATCATCACCAAAAAATGCCACAAAATACCCTCAAAATTGGCCACTCAAACCAAGAACGTCTTATACCCAGTTTACTATTTCAAAATAAACCGACTTAATAAAACTAGTGACTATAAAGTGACAGAGGATATGTGTCACATATTCGTGACTCTGATGGGGAAGATGTTGAGCACATTGTTCCACCATCTTTTGATCTCAATTTAAAGTAGATTTGATGGAACATACCGGAAGAGTGCCTTCAAGTTTTCTGGCAGTTCAGTACGACCAGCATAGCCGGGATTCATGGTGATAAAGAGACCCACGGAGCGCTTTAGTGGTATCGTCTCCCCCAGAAAGTCAAATATGGACTTTTTTGTTTTGACAGCATCCTGAATGCATTTAACCTGTGTAAAGGCACATAAAAACATTTTATTTTCACTTCTCCAGGTAGGTATTTTGTACATAAAAACATGGACATTTTTCCCACCTGCACGGCAATGACGGAGAGGACCTCCACAGCAATGCGATTGAACTCATCGAAGCAGCCCCAGGCACCAGTCTGAGCCAAGCCCTTGTAGATATTGCCCACTGACTTGTAGTCCATCTGCTCGGAGCAATTGAAGACGTAGACCATGGTGCCGAGAGCTCGACCCAAGTCCTTAGTGGTCTCTGTCTTGCCTGTTCCAGCAGGCCCTGCTGGTGCACCACTCATTCCGAGGTGGAGGGACTGTGTCAGCGTGATATAGCACCTATCCGTTAACGGCGTAACCACCAATCGAGGCGTACAGCCCAAGTATTCGTGCGCGTAGGCGAATTCCGCATCGCAGATATTGACAAAGCACTCATTCACCTTTTCATCCCACCTCACACGCAATTGGGAGAGCCAGGGAAAGGCTCTTGAGTTATCCACCTTCATTGTAATGAGTTTAGAGACGGCATCTCGGTTGTGCACATCGATGGTGCAGAGGGTCATAATCTTCTGACGGTCTCCAGGAGTCAAATCAGTCAGCAGCATCTCGATTAGGGTGCTAAGTGAGGCGATCTGTTTCTTGTTGTACTCCTTCATAGCATTTTCAAGGCCCTCTTCCAGTCGTGCGAATGCGATACCAACCTCAGCTGTCCATCCGATTTGTGAGCCGGTGAGGGCCACTTGAGCAGGGTAGTCAAAAATCCACTGGTCGCGAGGCTTTTCTTCGTATGCAGCCACGGCTTCCGATAGAGTTGCACGCATAGTGTGAACCATTTCGTCTATTAAGCGATTCAACCACTCCTCCACCTGACCCTCCAGGGTGAACGTCGAGACAAACTTGACAATCTCACCATCCTACCCAAAAGATGAACGCTATCAGACTGGAACACAGTTGAGCACAACAGTTTCGTGGAGTTCAAATGTCAACAAGAAACAAAAGTTTAGACCTACCTTGGCTTCCATCTTCAGAGCGGTCAAGTTGGAATTCGATTGGTTGGTCTCAAGGTTGCAGATGCTATCAAACAGCTTGGAGAGGTGTTTGAACACCTTCTCTGGCATTTTTCCCTTGCTTACAATATCCATCAAATCGGCCTGTGAAACGAAGTAGAATCTTGGGAAGGCTAATCGTTTGGTCTCCAGGTAGACGGCCAGTGTCTTCTCACAAATCGCCAGGCCATCGCGTACAGCCTGAATGTTATCAAAGAGCTCAGGTTGGCTAGTGGTGGCCTCGATGACTTTCGGTTTCTTGGCTATTTCTTCAGCCAAAAGTCGAAACTCCTTGTCGTGCTCGAAAAAGAGATCCGTATCCTTCGGTAACTGTTCACGAATATCATCACAGAGGACAAATATAGCCTCCAGACCTGACCACACTCTTTGTGTCTCGAACCACAGAGAGAGAACTTTGTCAGCAGTGAACAGAGCTTTATTCCAATAGGTTATCTTGACAATTGAATAGGCATTATCCCGATTTGCCATCATGTCAAGCACCTTGACTTGAGTCTCCTCAAGGAATGTGGTAAGAGTCTCCGTTTGCTTCGGCAACAGCAGACCAGTTCGCTCATGCGGCTCATACTCAAAGTACATGTCCCTCCAGATGGAGTCAATCTTCTCCAGATCCGCCTCAATTTTCTGCTCATTCATAGCCTTGGAGACAATTCCATGAACTTCATCTTCGAATTTGTGCAGGTTCAAGGAGAGAAGAGCTTCCAGCGTGGTGTCGTCACTGATATCGATCACGGCACCGGTGTCATGCATGAGCTCCACCCAATGACGATCCTTGACAGCAGGATTCTGCAAATCACTGACCGCGGACATGGAAGCACCTATGTCTTTCAGTACCGCCTCCAGACCCTTGTAAACCGGCCATTTCTTCACGTCTTTGTCCATAGATCGCAGCTCCAGAGAAATGTCGCGAATGACCTGGAATGAAAGTTACATGCTTCAAGTCAAGTTATGCGAATCTCGCAAGTGGCCTTCCATGCACTATGAGGATCTTATATGGAACTACTTCCAGGCTCGTACGCCCTATGCTGTCTTTAGGAATAATTCCTTCTGCTTTGTTAGTAGTGAAGAGTAAGCTCTCACTCACGTCCTCAATTGCCTCGAAGTCGACCTGCTTCCACAGTTGCGTCTTCCAAGAGGCCACATAACTTTTGAAAGTTTCCACCAAGTCCCACATCTTCTTGTTTGCCTTCATCTCCCTACGCATGGCCTTCAAATCCACGTAATTGGGAATGTCGCGGACATCGAATGACTTTGCGGAGACCTGCATTGCGGCTACGCCCTTTTCTATCTCACTCAACCGGACATCCCACTGTAAAAGGTAAAAGCGGTTGGGACGGAGAGGACACCCATCAGCTGGTTATCAAGGGATAGATGCAATCGGATTACCATATCAAGTTGACTGTAGGGGTTCGGACATTCATACTGGAAGATATTCGACTCGGCAAACTCACGCCGCATCGCCGAAGCCTGCTCATCGTAGTCTATGCTCAGGGCTCGAATATTTTGAACCTCCCTCTCTTGAAGAGGCTGTACTTTCTGTTTCGTGATCACTGAGAAGTTCTTCAGCTCATTCCATTGGGCAGGTAATACCTAGAAGGCACTAATTAGATTGCCCCGATTAACTTACCTCCAACAGTTTGACGACAGACTCCGGTAACTCCTCACCGAACTCTTTCAACAGTGCAACAGTCTCTCTCAGTGGATCAAATCCGGCATCAGTTGCAGCTTCCGCCTCCCGGATGAGCTTCAAGCGTTCCAGTATTGTTACGAGCTTATCGTAGGTCACTTTCTCAGTAGCCACCTTGAAAGAGAGATCCTCATTACTGTCATGAATGAAGGAGCTAAGACCACTCAGGGTATTGGTCACATGATCCACAAGGAATTGCTTGAATTTGTCACTCCATTGGCGGATCTCTGTGAGTAGTGCCACCTTAAAGGGTTTCAAATCTACACGCATCCAGTTGTCAAAGATGTGTGTGTCTTCAAGCTTCTCCACATCTTCAAAAACTTTATCGTACTTGAGAATAATATCCCTGAATTGGTCAAGAGTAGGTGGATGCTCTGGAGCCATTACATCTCCATTTACATCTATGTCGTCTCGTGTCAATAACCGTCCATAAAGACAAAATTGACGGATGAATTCACGTCTATCCTCAGCCCAGTAGAATGAGTAATTTGATTCCAGATTAACTTGATATTCCGAAGCCGCACGCATTACCGCATTCACATGGTCGGTAATCTTCATAATGAGGTCCGCAATCTCGGGTGTCTGCATGACCTGATAGGAGAATCCCACTCGGTCTTTTATAGTTCTGGAGATTCGAGCGCTCTCATCCGAAGCCTTGGAGAGAAGGCTCTTGCTCTTCTCCTCTTGAGCCACAGAAGCAGAGGCCTCCTCGTCTTCCTCTTTTCCTTCTTCATCCTCTGCCTTTTCACTTCCTTCCTCCTCGCCTTTCCTCTCGACCTCTTTGTCTCCACCTTCTCCCTCGGCTTCTTCGCCTTCCTTCTTCCTCTCTAGAGCCTCTGCCTCCTCCCGAGCCTTTTGTTCAGCAGCCTCCCGTTCTGCTCTAATGTCGGGCAGGGGAGGATGACTGGAAAGAAGGGGGACTAAACGTGATTGGTCAGTGATATCCTGCACCAAACTGTCCACCAAATCCATCAGACTCTCGCCTTGGGCTTCATGCATGGCTGGTGTGAATCTTAGCTGGGTACCCTGGAAAGTAAAAGGGTGAAGCTTTACTAACAGGCGTAAGTCTTGGTCTACTTATGGGCTTAAAGGATTGAAGGCTTTATTGGCTATGTGGGAGTTTAATAACTACAAATCATTTTGACGACTAAATTCAGCTGATGCGTTGGATAGAACCACAGTATTCCACCAACTGACATCAATGATGAGGGATCCCTGCATCAGCGGCATCTCGGATTTCGTCTTGTCCGTGTGATCGGACATGTAGGCGAGGCTGCAGCGGACGGCCTCCGTCAAGCCCTCCAGGATAACATCTTCCATCGCCTCCTGATAGGCTATCCACTCTGGTGAATCTGGTGTCGCATTGTAAAGGTACATATTCTCCTAAAAAGGGACGTTTCTTTTAGCTTAGTTTCACAATGGGCTCCACTTCACATCTGCCTAGAGTAAACCAAAACTGCCTCTTTAACTACTCGGACTCTTCAGTCCTTATGGATTGTACCTCCCCATGGCTACATGTCCTTTCAGTCATTCCCGTTGGCCTCTCAGCCCTTCAGTACGCTACTCATGAATCTCTTATACTGGTATGTCTGCATACAACTTCAGAGGAGTTCTCTAGCTTTAAAATACGACAGAAGACAAGAGGATCCAGTGATTCAAGATGAAGAACAAATGATTCCAACTGCCGCGTAAACTTACCAGGCTCCAAACAGTAAATGTGGGTCTGAATTAAAAAAACGAAAAGAAAATTACCGCCACAAGCCGGAGAATCTTCTCTGCAGCATCAACCATCTCACGATAGCGTGCCTCCCTGATAGGCTCTCGGTCCTCCAGCGGAATGAGACAGTCGTATTTGCGCTCTTTGCCCTGATAGAGTGGAAGATTGTTCCATAGTGAAGCCAACGCGCCTATCTTTCGCAGATTCTCATGAGCCGTCAGAACACGATCACGCAGATCACTTATTTTTACCAGATTACTGTCGATGAAGCCTATTTCGTCTGCAAGAAAAAGCAACTTGGTAAACTCTCGATTCACTTCTCGGGTTCTGTGTAAAAAGAAGACTCACAATCCTCCCAGTTCATCTCTTCAAAAGCTGGAGCTAGACTGTTATCAAAGGTCTCCACATCGGCTGAAATGAGAGGGTATTCTACGGTGTAGGTCTGCTGCCGAACTGTGTTGTAGGCGTTGGCGATTTGGTTCAATTTGAGTCTTGCCTCACGCAACGGTTCGGCTCTCTCAAAAAGTTCAATACTCTCTGGAGGCAGCTTCTCCTTGACCTGGTCTGCAGGACTCGGGACCGCAGCCTTGAATTCTGGGGACACATCGTGGTCGCAAGGACCTTCGCCGCTCATCATGAGGAGGTAGTGCACCTCACGGAGCACTTCGATCAACTGGTTGTCAAAGTTAACTGCCAGAAGGTGGCTTTCTGGGTCGCGACGTAGGAGTGGAAGTCGGAGATTGACACGACACTTTTCGGGTGCTGAATCACACAACTCTTTAAGCTTTAGTTTCCTAAAGCTAAACACAAAAGAGAAGATACAGAACTCCAAATCCCCAAGGGCAGTATTTATTGCAATTTCAGAGCTTACTCAGATAGGAGAGTGACCAATTCCTCATATTTCTGTTTTAGTTTGTCTGCTCGTTCTGTCTTTGCGGCTCTATAAGTGAAAGCTTTTATTAAGAACCCAAAAGATTTTACTTTTTAATGCCGTTATACTATTGCTAGAGATATTTCAATTTGGAAACCAATCCCTAAGCGTAATGTGCTATCAAAGATTGCTTACATTCACTAACAAGTACTCCTTGGATTATGGATTAGTCATCTCCAAGACACAAAGCAAGATATGGGAGCCACTTCATGGCTTCAAACTTTGATGATAAAAACCATTTTAGGGTTCATACACCACGGAAGAGAGCAATGCTGCCTTTGAAATCGTGATTGCCATACCACCAGGCACTCAAAAGAATTAAAGTTTACTAATTATTTGAAGTAGCAATAATTTTTGGATGAAATCTTTGTACCTTCGCTCATGGCAATTAGATCTAGTGTGCGCATTTAAGAAGAAAATATCACCCTTGGTGAAGAGCTACATTTGCTTGTAGAACTGCTTATGGGTAGCAGAGGAATTGGCACATGGCGTGATTCAAAGAACGGACTCGGATTAGATTCACAGTTGGGAGACGATTATTTCGAAAATTTGGAAGACAATTTATGCATTGATGGATGTCAGTAAGACAAATCAGGCCTTTACGGCAAACACGAGCGAATCGTTGCGTACACGGGAGTGGCAGCTCGGCCAATTCTACTTCCGCTTATAAATAAAGACACCAACGCTTTTTTGTTTTACTATGCCAAATTCTATAGACTTTCACCTTTTTAACAAAAATCTGTTCTAGGTGAAAAGGAACCACTGCGAAACCTGCTGGATTATGGATAACTATGAGAAAAACTCACGGATGATCGATATGATGGAATGGCTTCATGAGAGCATCTGCCCGCCTTAGTAGTTGGAGAGACCAGGCCATTGCCCCGGAAGCCGGTGGTAGATTCTTAAAAATTGCCTGTTTCAGCATCCCCTCGTCGTCCACATGTCTATCCAAAATGAGTTTACATTCGTCCAGATCCTTGTGCATTATCTCAACAAGGTCGTAGAAGCAGTGTTCAATGTATGGTGCAATAAGTGGACGCTCCAGTAGGGGGCCGAACATGAAGATGGTTTTGAACATCGAGGCTGCATCGGGACAGCTACTGAAACTCCGCAACAAAATTGAGGTCATTCGATGGTCGTAATTCTCAATCATCTTGAAGTACTTTTGGATCTCGTTGAGAAAGACATCGTCTTCAGTGGATAGACAGTCCATATTGAGATCAGTAAAATTTTTGTAGGCACTTTGGTACTCCTCGTACATATCGCCAAGGCTCTTTGACAGCTTTGCACCAACTATTCCCAAGACTTCTATCTTCTCCAGTCGATTATAGTCGACGTTGTAGTTGAAGTATTTCTAAGTAAAACAAATGACATCAGATATGATCGACTGAGTTTAAAGAGAATTTGGACTGTATTTGAAAGGTTCTGAAGGGTATTTTATCAGCCCTGATTTCTGTATTCAGGAGCTTACCTTGATGAGTTCCAGACGTTCAATAAAGGCATTCAGGCGTTTAAAAATCCAGTTATTGTGGAAGTACCATTCAGCAGGTTCGATGCCATGTTGAATGCAGGACTCCTTCACATTTGCTCGATACTCGTCAATAACGCGTCGAAAGTGGTAAAGTATGTCTAATGAATCGTCCAGTTTTTTTATTCCATCGTCTGGCTCCTCCTTCACAATTTCCGAGGGGTCGAGGTAAAGTCGACACTAAAATGGGGAATGAGATGCATATGCCAGGAATGAGCTATCCGAGGATGAAGTCCCCAAATGACAACGCTTAATGTTGGAAACCGATCTACCTGTTGAATGAGAAGATTGGCGATCTCATTAATTAGAAGCGCCATTCTGTTGGGCTCACGGTAGTACTCACAGTTGACCCAAATCAACGCTAGAAGGTGCACCAATGGCTGGATGTTTGGTTTACACTCCTCAAAGCTCAAAGCTTCCAAGTCATCAAGGTACTTCATCAAGGGGGTCAGAAAGATTACAATCGTTTCCGCTTCGACTACACCTAAAAGGCGGATAGAAAAGTCCATTATGTGATGTCAAAAAAGGATGACAATAGCATATACGAACAGAGGGAGAGAGAACTGACCTCGGACGACCTTTTTGAAGAGATTTCTAAAGAGAGTGGTATAGGCAGATCCATTCTCCTCCAAAATGATGGCCATCTTCTTGACCTGTGGATGTACCAATTGGTCGTAGATGTTGTACAGGCTGCTGGTCCGCTGATTCCAAAAGTCGAACTCGTGCGAGGGCAATGGCAACTGACCATTTGGGACACACATTTCTGAGCTCTGCTCCAAGCACTCATTTATTTGCTTGTTCCAGTCAACCACTGTCATCTCAATGGAGCACAGCATACTCCCAATTGCGTCTTCACCTCTGGTGAGATGAAAACGGACGACTTTTTACCATTTCGTTAGAAAGAAGAAGGAATTTAAATGTGATGCCAAATTTTCGTTTGTTGAGATTTTACCTCAGCTGTTTAGCAAGTAAAATAGTGGTTGATGTGACATTTAGTCAAGCGCTCACGTCGAACCGGAAATTGACATTTGCAAGGACGTTAACATTGCTGAACAATACGTCTAAGAGGCGACAAGTACGGTCTATTACCAGGTAGTAAGGCAGAGAGCCGCTTCGAAACGATAGTTCACGCAAGTAATCAGGCTACCACAGACGCGACGAAAGCTGCACCGGGTCAAAATGTGTGCTCTACTTTGTTCCGGAATTGAAACGAGCATTAGAGCGGTGGAAACTTGCAGATTCGCCACCGATGGCGAAGTGAGGCAGATGGCCCTAGAATGGTTTGCGCCGAAGCTTGCTAATTAGCAGTTAAGTGTCAGGGTAAGTGTACGTATAAACGTAGTAGGAAAGAAAGGGATAAGCCTCTTCCACCTCGAAAGTCCCATTTTCAGCTTAGCTGTGCCTCATAGGCATCAGCATTCATCCCAACGTGCTTAGTCAGCTTTGTGAACAGACAATGTTTTACGGAACCGGATCATTAATAAGCCAATTTACCTTCGGCAAATTATAACGCGGCAGCATGGCTCCTCAGCAAATGAGAAGTTGGACTATTAAAACAAACCGAACACGGAAAAAATTTCTACTGATGTTTTACAAGTAGGTATTTCACGAGACCTACTTTGCAGTGACAGGATCTTGCCCCTCCGCTAATTTGTCTAACTTAACCGGATGAGCCAGATGCGTTCGGCCTTCCATCTTTGCGAGGACGAATTCGGACTTCTTTTGCAAATTGTAGAGGTCCCGTTTAATGTATTCATTCAGTGACTCTGGCCAATCCTCCCGATTCTTATCGTTGAGAATGAATGGAGCTAGTACCTGAATAAGAGGTTGTGAGAAAAAGCTGATAGAGCAGATTTACTGAGTTTACAAAGGCTATAAAGTGGTGAATGGGCGATTTGTGCAAATCTCCGTAGATTATTCCCGATTTTAACTGATTCATGTCGATGTTCTTTTCAAAGCTAACTGGCTGGTTCTTGACAAAGTAGTAACCCTTGCTTTTCATGACAGCGGGAAATTTGTTGTAAACCTCCATTTGTCCACCCGACGGGAGGATGATGATCATCAACTGCTCGTCTTGGTTCTCAAAAAACTCCAAAATTTTGTCCATTGTGACCATGTCCTCCTTCACCTTCAACAACTTCTCCGGCTTCATATCTGTCATGGCTTGAAGGTAGTCGAAGACGAAGCGCAAACGCATATCGTCCAACTCCTCCATCGTCTGCGCCTTGACAAGGTTTTCGGTGCGATCAAAAGTGCACCGTTTTACTTTTCAAACATTTGATCTTATCGATTTATCGTTAAACCCTTCAACTGATCAGCTGTGAAGTGCAGTTATTCGCCTATCAAACGCCGTCGCCTTGATTCCCTCTCACCATTAAACACTTTACCCTTGTCACACTAAAAACCAAGCTGATATGACCTTGTGGAATTTTTCACTTGGATCATACCACATTTTGACACATAGCCTCAACACCAGGATCAGGCAAGTCTAGGATGACATTACGACCTCTACTGTGCCAGAATCCTTTGAGTATTGCAGGTCTGACTTTGGGAATGACTCGGAGTGGTTATAAGAAATTGATGTCACGTAAAATCAGCCCTTAAGAGAAGGAGGTGCCAATGTGTGGCACCTGTGTCGCAACTACTGCCCCCAAAAGTCTGCAATCTTTTCCAGACAAGGGATGAGCGACGAGATTGAAAAGCTGTGTCTGGAGCAAAGGAGAATAGGGAGACAAATCGAACCTTATTCAAATTTGAAAGGAAGCATGACATTGATTGATCCAATTCTAGAATATATGGAGGTCATGTGACCCTTCAAACAGTGCAATAACCGAAGCTGCAGAGCCAATTCAAGTGCTATGTGATTGGAACCAGCAAAGGTAAGTCTGACAAGCCTGTTTTTTATTCGACAACTTTTTCCTGACGTCTTTATGTTTTACCTCAATCAAACATTTGCTAATAATGTTTAGATAGTTCACAATCATCAGACGAGGGATTCAACAGCTGCGACATATCTATTTGTTCCAAAGCACCGATCTTGTAAACATAAACTTTCGTCCTTCAAAAAACATCTCGAGTTGAATTTTGAACAATGGAGGATTATGATGCTATTCCTCAACGTTTTTGCAGGTAAAATACAATGCATAAGTTCCCACGCACTAGATGGCAAACTACATTTAACAAGTCATTTATAACTTTACCTCGGCCATGGCCTTAGATGGTTTTCAATGTATTGTCTGGTTAATTCCTAGGCTAAACTATGCACGACTTGTAAAATACACCTTCACAATGCAACTCTTCACTGAACTGCGTTGGTGTGACTTTAATGTACGCTAACTGTGTGGGCTCGTCTTCTTGGCGCGACTGAGACAATGCCCAAAGCATACCAACATTTCTATACATATAGCATTTCTTCAAGTTAGTACAAGCATAAAGTACGGCCAAGCTCACAAACATTTGACAAAACCTTAATCAAGTTAAATAAAATAATGCAGTATATTACGCTTATCATGCACGGAAAAAGGACCAGGAAGCTTGTTTAACCGCGCTAATGATGTATGCAGCAAACACCCAGCGTACTATGAAACCGGGGGGCCTACTCCTCATCAAAACCACATTTCTTATCTCATTCGTTTCGGCCTCTAATTTTTGGTGCTATAATTGTTCAAGCGCCCAAAGTGGATGTGGCCCACCTCTTGATATTCGAACCCAACACTGGAGATACTGCTCTGGTGTACCTGTTTATGAGCAAATGTGTGTTAAGATAATTGAAAAAGTTAATGGTAAGTAAACATCAAATGCTCTTTTGTGATTTGCATGCAATAGCCTTACTTAAGTGTTAGCTAGCTACCTCTTCAAGGCAAATATATTTAATCCTCAGAAGTCCTAAATGTACTTCTAAATTTATGAATTTGGCGAGTTGTAGAGCCAGGGCTATGTTGTGCAATATATTTCAATTACTAAAAACTATGCAATGTAGATGAACGCATTACCCAACCCCCACTTCAAGAAAAACTAAGGTACTTTATTTGATTTCCTCTCATCTTCAATTTGGCGCATTTTAGAGTAAACAAAAACAGGTATGAATGATTTGGTGACTCCACAAATTACGACGGACACAGATTTGTGCACTTGAACCCTATTTGGTCGCGTATCATCCTCTTTCTTCATAATAATACCGTCAAACACACGATTCCCCGTTACCATGCGCAGCATTTGCAGGATAACTTGCCATGTCGCCACTACTCGTTTAACACTCGACCCCCTTCTACAGTCCATGTGGTCCTCTACAAATCATACATTTAACTGGTGTTCTCTAAACCGTCAACCGACAATATGACTTGAAACTAGTCCTTCCCACCATTGGCCATCTGCCTCCTTTAGACCAGATCACGATCACGCGCGGCTGTCTTAGTGACCTTCTCCTGACCACTCAAATCCGACTGGACGTCCCTAGAGTGCGTCGCCACGGCTACTGCCTCTACTCCGTCTCAAATCAGCGTTACCTTCAGCAACATCTCCGAGGTCCCGAACTCGCTCTCTGGGCCATGGGGGTACTGCGTCCCGAGACGGAGATGTACAAACTCTACTGCTTCTGTGATGACTGGCCCGGCTGCAACCCCACTTCCACACCCTATCTTTCTCTTCTCTTACTCATTATCACTGCAGTTCTACCATTAGGCCCTTTTCCTTCTCTCTAGCCCGCACACAGTCGACCCTACACATACAACGATCACTTTGTTTATGTGTGCAAGGGACAAGTCACGCATGGCGTGAATACGGCTTTAACAGTGAAGGTAAAGGAACGCGGACAGTTCAAATATGCGAAGTGGGGAGGGTGTACTTGAGACGGGAGTGCTCGAACAGCATAACGAATTGAATGAGATGATCTTGCACAATGTCTGTAAGGAAGACCATTTTTGAGCGTTATTTTTCCAAGGGATAATTTGGCAATAAAGTTCAGTACAGAAATGTTTCTTAGAAGACTAGAAAATCGCTTTTCACATTACGAAGAGAAGTAAAATCAATTGTAATACTTTACTTGGAACCTTAAGAACCACAATTCTGATCAAAAGATAACGAAGACAGTATAAATATGCAAGGTAGAGGCTCCCAAAGATCATTGTAACCAAATATGGACGAAATGAAAAGTTGGCTTCTGGATCACTCAAATATGCGCAACAAAGAACTAACATTTACTCAAATGAAATGAAGTCGACAATGAGCGAAACAACAAGAAGGGACTTACTGCAAACGAACCAACTGGGCTGAACGCGTTGTGTGGAAAGAAGTTGGCTAAATCGACGAATATCGATGGTGGCAGAAAAGGAGGTGGTAGTGGTGGTGAGGTTGTCCCCCGCCCCTTCGGGGACATGCCAGTCACGTGCTCGCAGTCCCCTAAAGGTCAGTCGCACGCGTGCCAGGGTCTCCATGTTGATCTCCAAGTAGAGGTCACCACCACCAGTAGCTCTGATTGTCTGCAAGAAGTGAAGAAATACACCGGCTCGGATAGAAGCACTTATTTCAACGAATGAGCCTTTTCTGTATTTTTGAGGTCTCAATACGAGTGAACCAATGCCCTGAGCGGATAAGCAAAGTGATCATGAAACCAGATGGTTATGTGGGTCGTTTACATTGCTCTCAAGCCCCTTTGACCCCTCTGTCATCATGCCTCCAAAGTGACTCACAACTGCATCAACTATTTGGCAAGCACCCAGATCCCAAGGGTTGCATCACGCCATGATCTGTACTGCAGCAATGCCTGAATTGAACGAGACAGAACTGCCTACAATGAACACAAAAAAGAATGACGACTGAAAAGATCCAGACAGACGACTGGGTGGCATTAAAGTGATGCTGGAGTTGAAAGAAGCACTGAGGACCTACTTCATGTCTATCTCGCTGGTTCAACAAAGTACTACTAAGAAATGAAGAATGCTTTTATTGTTAAATATTCCCTTATTCTAATCTAACCACAATATTTTATTTGTTCAAATAATCAACTACAACCTGTTATACACTTCCAACGGGATGGAAGGTAGCTGCAAATCCCGCGTCTAGGAAACAGCTGGTCTCTTGAAGCCGTGAAACAAAAACTTAGCCCTAGCCATTTCCGATTAGGGATGCCTGGAAGACGTCTCATTTCGGCCTTCCAGAAACCCCAAATTAATGGCTCATATTTAAACCGTCCAGAGAGGGCGGTGACGGCGTTCGCTCCCTCCTGATTTGTGCATTATCTAACAGAGATGTAATTCACATGTACTGATCACCAGTTGAAGGTTGAGGTCAATCAGTTACGATGATTACGGGGGTTTCAATGTCACAGTTTATAATCTCCTCATCTACAGTTAACTTCGCATGTGGTTATGTAATCGGCTAACGTCAGGTAAACGCGCCAATCCATGGTAGAGATAAGAAGGGAATGATAAAAGCGAAGCAGTATCTCCCTTTCACCCCCACCCTGGAGCGAAAATCTTCCAACGAGTACGTTTCGCAGCATGAGGTATTGGGCCATCTTATAAGGATAAAAACCAGACCTACTTCCTCCTGACTAGACCAAAAACCGAACGAGCTCATCCGGTTACCTGATACGCCCCCGAAATGGGTCTTTTAGTGCAATTTATGAGTGAAGAAAGCTAAACACATCAGCCTAGTTTGGATTCGAAAGCCTTCCGGTGGCGGTGATAAATTACCATCCGATGTCATTTCTCGTCGCATGATCAGTTCCACTTCATTTGACTTATGATGGCAGACCAGAGGGTTAGTACACGAACCTTTCCACGGCAACGTTATAAGACTTCTGCAACTACATCTCATGGACACCCAGAATTCAGAATCTGCCCTCCAAATGAAATTGGTAAGCCAAGCAACCATCCACTAATCTAGCGTCTATGAACCTCAAGAAGGGGAACTGAGCTTCTTATGTAAGTAGATGCGTCAGTCAAAGAGCAAAAGACATTTGCAGAACTAAAACAGTCGAATTCACAGGCTTACAAGAAATCTTGCAAAGTGCTTCATGCGATCCACAAAGAGTCGGAGATTTTTCAAGGGAGGAAGGAAGATGCTCAACTAGAAAGAGAGCAGAAAGGCAGTCACGTGTAGCTCATGGCCGCAGCGAGAGAAAGACAGCTAGACGATGATGCAGAGGCAGAACGTACATCAAAATCTGGATCTGGCGTTTCCTCGAAGTCCGACCACAAACGAAGCGAAAGAATGTGGACAGGAACAAAATGCCACACAGCTCGTGAGCGACCGCTTATGCTGGCCTAGATCAATGCAGGAAATAAGGTTCAGTTATCAAACCGTCCGGTGTACAGTGTAATCAGCGTTAGTAGAGGGTTTATCCACCAACACCATAGCAGTCGAGTTTACTCTGCAGACTTTGTGAGGCATACAAGCCAAGCTAGTTTTATAAAGGCACAGATGAAAGACCGTTAGCAGGGGGCGGCATGAGATGTTAGGCCAAGAAAGAGGCTTCAGAGTTTAAGTTGCTCTTGACAACGTTATAAAGCACGAGATTCTAGAGGTAGTCATGGCGATCGAACTACAGAAGGCTGGAGAAGTAGGCGTAACAGAGACCGATGTCATTCTGTTACCTCGTCCTTTGACTCTTGAGTGTTGTCTTCGTTGAGACCTTCTCCGACTGTTCTTCTTGGTCAGATGTCAAGGAACGACCTTTTCCTCCGGTTGGCTAATCAGAAATATCGCTATTGTGATGACTTTGCTAACAAGATATCGTGCGTCATACAAACCAGATCGTGTACACCGAACCCAACGAATAAAGGACATTTAAAGTAGGCAAATTAAAGAAAAATCCAAGCACTTTACCTGTTCAACCTCCAACGCCAGACAGGGTGTCTTACGTCGCACCAATTTGATCTTGAGACTGCGTGCAGTACTAACGAAGTTGTGTAAAGTGGTCTGACCTCGCGGCAGGGTCACGCCTGAGCTGCCTACGGTAGTGTGAGATTGGGAGGTAGGGACACCACCAGTGCTACTGGTGGAGACACTGTTACTGATACCCCTCAGGCAGTGCAGAATTTCCTCAGGAAGGACTTCAAGAAAGATCTCGTCCTGTTCTGGCGAGAGACCTTCACAGATGCACTCGGAGAAGACGCTTGTCTGCAAACAGCCACGAGAAAAGTGGATGATTAAACAGAGAAAGTGCACCCTTAATCACCTCAAATTCTATATCATATTTCCAAATTGTCTATCCCGCATATAATCATCCAATTGTCAAATACCAATAACAGGTAAACATGACAATCGCCACTCGGGGAAGTTTGGAAGATCACGAAGGATTAGGAAGCGGTAGGAGGTCTTGCGTTGTGTCGTCTTAAAAAAAAATAAAAATATTACTTCCCAGTGATTCCCTAGTCCAACCTGTTACTCAAGAGAAGTCTTTCTTGCCAACTTCGAGTTGTGTTTGGTTGTTCAACTTTCGCAAAGTGGACGATTGCAGCTGTGATTAACCGCGCACGAACACACAAGGAAGCGTGACGTGAGCATTGAATTGACCGTTTGAGGATAACCACCAATGGTGTACTCGCTTAGTTCGCAAAGCAGACAAGCTCGAAACACGTCCATCTGCTTCAACCAACAATAGATGACACATGAGAGTTCAGAATGGCAGAAAAGCTGTACAGAACACCATAAAGTGTACCGTAGCGATGGATTGACAAGTCTCTACAATATGCAACAAGTCATTACGACGACATCCACTGAAAATCCCACGGACCTTTTGGTAACCTGACAGTTGTCTAGCCTATATGATGCGGTAGGATTTATTAGGGAGAAAGTAAGATTCCGACAAAACACTTCTTTACTCAAAAGAAAAACATGACGCTGACCACCGAAAAACTAGATGCCTCATACTTGACCTAATGATTAAGGAGGGGACTGGACTGACCTGATCGAGCTCACACCAAATGTCAGCACCACCTTGGGCACTGCGTTCGCGGATAATGAAGCTCATACTTTCTTTCCTGATACGGAGGACGCAGTTCTTGGCCAGACCGGCTAAAACCTGAATGGTGTCTGCAAGGGAATTAGGAGACGGCCTTTAGAGAAGACATAAACTGCTATGTAGATAAGAAAGTATTTACTTGCGAAGTAGTCGATCGATCCGCTGTCATTGGATCGCACTCGAAATTTCATTATCCAGGTGGGTCTGAAGCAAGAGAACCGCAGCTTTTGATCGGCAGTCTGTGATGCGCTCACTTCAGCAACAGTTAGGCAGCATGTGAAGGACGCCCTAAACCAGTCGAAGATGAATGATGGAAAGAGCATGGATTTACAATTGAGGGGGCTGTCAAGGACACATCAGGTGGTTTCAACGGGTCTACCACAACTTTTGTGAAGGCAAACATGGTAATGGGAATGCCATGTCAATCATTACTACCAAACTGTGACGTCATCAACGTCAAAGGTCCTCCGTGGGAAGACTATCAAGATGGAGCACTCAAAAGCATCATACAAACCCCACTCAATTGGAGACAGCCTTAGAGCTGCCCAAACCACTACTTAATGTCATCCAGGTAAGCAAACAGAAAACAAAAATGAACGCAGAACAATTTCAGTAACCACTTTAGTACACACATATAAAATATATTCACATCAATACAAAATACGTGTAAAAGCAAAATTTGTATATCTATGGGAAGGAGGGAGAAAAAAATTAATCCATCACCCGATATCTCGCAAAAGGCAGTACTTTCTGGTGTAGAATTGAATCTGAAAGGTGAAGAACAACCTATAAGTAACCATTGCCCGAAAACAATACTTTCAAGAACTTAATATGGTAAGAGAAAGAATACGCTGGCAACCTCGGCAAAAAAGGCGCAAGAAGAATCCAGCAAGTCGTGATTTACTAACCTAGAACCCATTTGGGGGAAACACTGGGCTTTTTGGTATCTTTCTGACCCACAACCAATTCTGCTCCGATTGCCCGTTTGGATACCTGTGAGGAAGAAAGGACCAAACATCCTTGTTAGGGCACTCGCATCAGGTGGACACATCTTCAGAACAATAAGGGCAATGAATGGTAAAACGTAGTAGTTTACAAGGCATGCGGTACAAACCAGACTGCAATTATACGCCCCAATAAACTTTACCATGCAAGGCAATTAGACATTGCCTTAAATGTCATTCAAGTGGAAAGAGGTATTTCGAAACTCACAGAACCTCCACCCATGATGATGAGTTCCTTGAGAGCGGCAGGAGGGGGAGAGGTGCCAGCAGCCACAAAAACACAGCCAACTGTTGAAAAGAGCTTCTGCAGTTTCGCAGCAGCCTTTGCTGGAGGTAGCCCTGAGATCTGGGTGACAAAAGTAAGAACGAATGCTCCATCTACGACCAGGTCCCATGATAGAAGGGAATTTACAGCGAATAGTCGGGTTAAGCATACAATCAACTCGAACTATGGAAAGGCTAAAGTTCCACGAACCCCCGCCAAAAGGCGAAAATAAAGAACTTGATTATTAGAGTCGAGTCATATCGGTGGAATATAGGTCCGTCATAGTCGAAGAGCGCCTGAAAAATTTCCTCCAAAATAAACTTACAGAGTGGAATAATGAGCTGTTAAACCCAGTCTCATGCACTATTTAAAAGGTTATGCCGAGAGGGATTCAGCACCCTTACTACGAGCTTCAATACTTTAAAACGGAGATTTTTTTAGTCATTGCAGTAAGAATCAACAATAAAAGATAGTAATTGATAAACGATACTGGAATCCATAGCGATCCAAAGTAGCGGAAGCAATACAGATCCACTACCCATTTTCAACCATCCAAAGACACCATAAGAAATAGTTTTGGAGGACTCCTAGGGAGGAGTAAATAGGAGAGGCAAGCGGGATGGTGAAATTTTTAAGTGATAAGTTATCGGTAACTAGAGCAGATGATTAAAAGAGGGTGTGCAAGATACTACGAGCCACATCTAACATACATTTAAAGCGTACGATGCTAATGAATCACATTAAGGAAGACTCTACTCTGAATAATGCAGAAACAGGCGGCCTTGTCGACTAAATTGCATGGAGAGAAACCTACGGAGAACAACCTTCAGTAGTATTTAGCATCGTGGGTGATGATGAAAAAGTTAGCGTGGATGTACACTAAATGAGAAGAGAATGTCGCGAAAGCTAGTGAACTGGGCAAATGGGTGCACCCACAAGCTATGATTTAACAGCAGAAAACTAAATTCTCGATAACTTCCGAATCACTCCCAAAAGACCAGTAGGGTCCAGAAATTGTTAAGAGGACAACATTAAGGACTGAAAACAGTGGAATGCTATTGCAGTGATACCACACAGCAGCAAGGAGCAATTGCGACCCTTTGCTATTGCTAATAGCCCGTACCCGTGTCACGTACTTGCCCAGATGTCGTCATTCAGGATGCAAAGAGGATTGCTGCATTCCTTGTACATTTTATATCATATTGAGAAGACTTACAAGAAAGCGCCTGAAGGGGAGCCACTTGCCGGCCTTCGCAGACTCCACGACCCAGGCCATGTCGATCACCGGAATGGAGGCGAGGACGGCCTTGAAGAGGTTGATCGTGCGAGGAAAGGGTGAGGTGGAGACGAGGTGGGTGGTGGTGCGCGTGCTGAAGATGTCCGCCAGACGCCACCGCTGTGCCGGTGCCTCCGCCTCCGTGCCGAGAATGGCTGCCAGCACCGAAGCCTTGGGGCCTTTTTTGTCATTGGGACTATCACTTACATCAGCGCGGCCACAGAGTCTGCGATTCAGTGTGGGTGTCACCTCATGCTTGCTGAGCTCAGTGCTTGAGCGAAGCAGTGCGATAAGGGTCTGTCTTTGACTAGACAAAAAACGATGCTAGCAGTTTTAGAATGAGTGCCCTTAAAGGCCGATCGTTCCAATAAAAGAATTAAGACCTGACTTCTACGTAGAGGTGGAAATGAAATAAGTGTCCAATTTGAGAACAGGACGGGCCTTAAATAACACGATTGTTTCCACACTATTCTAGGAATTTCCAAAACGGAACACAACCAAATTTATCCCAAACCTTAGCAACAAAACTAGTATGTGATTTTAAGGCAGCAGAAAAAGGCAGCACAAGTTGCATGACTCACAATGCGTTTAGGCCGGAGAAAAGAATTTCAATCGGTCGATTTGGCGCTGAGACCGAAGCTCCTGCATGGCGACGTGGCCTCAAAACTGAAAATTAAACGGTTAAAATTGCAACAGTAAAATAGGAGCGGAAAATGCGTCTAGACATACCATACGGGTTGATAAAATCTTCAAGACTGTTTCGCAATTCGGGAGACTAAAATGCAAAGGATACAAGTAGAAATCTGAGCTTGAATTCGGGAAGTCACTTTATTACAAAGAAACGAGAGGGAGCTATTACTAGCAATTTAAAAGATCCCGACCAGTTCCGCTTACACAGATGTTCACTGTTGGAGAATTTAGACTAATCTCCGAGTCGACGATGACTGATTTCGAAGTGGGGCCCAAGGCTGTTTCGGGCGGGCCCATTGCCAAACCAACACGATTAGTCACCTTCGCTAACAGCCGCAGGGACCTCCGCCTCGGTTGAGGCAACACCTCAACCGATTTCAATCCCTTCTTCCCCTGCGTTATTTGCCCCGAATCCCCCCTCTTAACACTTTTTAGAATTCTTCCTTTCAACGTGACGCCATCAGAAGCGCTTAAGGCATCAACATGGGACTTAAGGAGCTGTCTACGTAGTGATGACCGGCGCCCCTCCAATGGATTCCTCCTCCTCCACTTCTGTGTCGGTGTCTTGCTGACAATCTTCCTCTCCTGACTGGGCGTCACCTTGACTGGTGCCAGAAGTAAAGGCTTTTCTCTTTTAGGCATAAGATTTTTCTTAATCGCCGTGGTAGAAGAGGCAAAGTTGCGAACGACGAAATGAAGCACGTCAGGCGACAGAGGCATGCGAGAAAGAGTGGTGGAGCCGATCACGTCGGAGAGACGCGGTTGAGTCTCCTGCGCTGGGGCATTATCCTCAGGGAAAAGGGGCAGGTCTGCAACTTGCTGTGGTGGAGATGGGAGACGCATCCAACCCGGTGGAGGCTTGGTTAGGGTGACGATAGGAGAGGAAGTGGGGGTTTGGGGTTGGGAGGACAATCCACTGCCACTAAGAGCTGTTAGAGAGAACATAAACAGTTCAAAGTACAAAGCGAAGAAATTACTTACAAGGCCTGAGTAGAAGCGAGGCAGTTTCATGAGTCTCTTTTCTAGAAGAGTCCATCTTCTTGGTGCGTGTATCAAGATCGTCACGAGACTTCCATACGCCTGGTGGAGTCTTTGAACAGGGGATGGAAGTGGAAATGATAGCAGAACCTAGGGAAAGGGAAGCTTCGGAGTGGGGAGCCGACATCGGTTCATCCCTCATAAGAGGACCATTTCTAGAAGCGATGCGATTACAGTCGTCTGCCAGGTCAACATCTTCTTTGTCTTTCAAGTAATAGCAAGCCTCCGGAACTCGACACTTGAGAGGTGAAGGAATGAGTGGGCATTTTACCTTTTGTTGGACACAAGCTTTAACCCAGGCCGGAGCTACTACGCACAATCCGCGCTTTTCCGCCCATAGCTTAGTCATGGGATCTCCGTAGCGAAAGATAACATGGGTAACGTAGGCATTACGAGTTGTTTCGACTGTTGCGCCAAGTGATGTTAGACGCCGCGATACTACAAAAGCCGGGTTTCCAAAAGGGGATCGAATATCCACATAGGCCACCACACCTTAAAGAAAACAGTTCACTCTCCTTGAAATCAGATTTAAAGATCATTTATAAAGGCAGAACAAACTAGATCACTAAAACCACGAACCGGATCATGATTGAACTTCGCATTAAGGGCCGACTGAATAATCACAAGAAAAGTCCCAAGAAAGTAAGCAAAAGCAGAGAAAAGAAGACTGAGTGATATCTTAACCAATAATTACCGTGAAGCAATCCTTTCCCACGACCTGATGGCACAGACATCTCATTACCTTTGCAAAGTGCACAACCCACAAATTTGAAGGAACGCAAGCACTAAAACAAAAATAGGCCAATCAAACTTACCTGCATAAATAAAGCATCAAGTAAAATAAGTAAGCTTAAACAATTTAGCCATTTCCATTGAAGTAATTGGTTACCTAGACTAATTGGTTTAGTCTTAGTCAACAGAACTGCAGCAAAAAGCATTCAAAACAAAAAAGGAATTCGCAGCTTTTGGCCTAAACAACTTTATAGTGAATTCACACTTTAATAATAGCGTTAAGTAGTTCTGGTGACCTTGACAGTCGTTTAAGTGTTTGCTTTATGGACTATTCGTGAAAACACATCTAGTTATTAATAATGCTTGAAGAAGGGTTAATGGTTTGAAATAACTTTCCTAACTGCTTCTTTGTAAGCTAGAAATATTGTACTTTCTTCGACGCGGGTGCAGCGGTGTTGCTGCTACTTTGCTATCGCCGCAATCCAACAAGGCTAACCTCGGGAAATCTGCTTTATTATTTCAAGCATTGATGTATTTGAGGAGCGGTAGTCTACCAACTTTTTGCTAACGCCTTTTAGATAAATGTGAAGATGCTGTACGGCTGCTTTATTCGATAAAAGATGACAAAGACTTGGGACTAGCTTCTCTTATTTGTTTGTCACATGCATACAAGATCTCTCCAACAAGTAGTACTCAAAATTTTGTCGAGATTTTTTTAGATCAAGCAAAGGCTGAAGAATTTGATGCAGAGGTGAAGAATGTTAGGCGTACGGCAAACAGCATGGTTGGTCAATGGCTAGATTACCATTCTTCATTAGGCTCTCTACTATGCTGGCGCTAGTCTTTTTGCATTACAGCGATTCGAAAAAGCCAAGGAATTTGCTGAAAAATCAATGAAACAAGGGTCGCTTATCGTAAAATATGCATTTGTTTATATAATACATAGGCTAAACATCTTGTTGGATTTGCTTCATGCCATTGTTCAAATAGAGACCTTCAAAGAACGGCTGAGTACTTCTTTGGAAATGAATCAGGGTAATAGGCATAGGTATTTATGTTTCCGCTTCATTAGAAATGACGGAGTTGAAAAACTATTCGGCCTTGCTATTTGCGCAGAAGTCACTGGCGACTTGCCAGAGTCACTAAGATTACTCAACCAAATTATTATGCGGTTTCCGAATTTCTTACCCGCTTTTGCCGAGAAAGTTGACGTGCTGTTACTGTCGGATCAGTGGGAGCGGGCACTTGAAGCAGCATCACGGTATGCCCAGACTAACTTGAGCGATCTTTCTAGCTGTATTGAGGTCAATTCTCAATGCATATTATCTTCTACATACAAAGTCTTTCACTCTCTTTGTCGAGCTTCAAACTATGCGCAAGTAGATGATAATTTAATCAAATAAGGTCTTTAGACTTTTATTGATCTTGAAAAACTAATGAGTCTGCTGTCGGCAATCGAGCCAAACAATTCGCTTCATTATGCGAATGTTGCGAAAATTATTTTGTGCTTCGTAAGTTTCTAATTCAAATGGAAGTTATTTCTGACAACAGAGTGGTCGTCATTCCCGATTACTAAAAAAAGCCAGTCATTTAACTAATCGAGCTCTCGAAATATGCCCTGGCAGCAGTTCTATCCAGCTTATCGCAGCTTCACTTAACCTAGCCACTGAACATACAAAGGAAGCCTTGAATAACTATAAGAAAGCCATGAAAATTGATGAATCAAGCATAGAAAGCATGAACGGTAGGTGTTTCCGCGTTTCACCGTTTTAACTGCATGCCTTTTTCAGGTCTTATTCACTGCCAACTTCTTCAAGGAGACATAAAAGATGCCGCCTTACAACTCGAACTACTGGATGAACTTTTGCCGACGATAGGGGTGTCAGCAGTAAGTTTATTTCGTAGAAGAGTCTCACTGACAGGCCTGAAGTCTATGACAAAATAGAGAACCAAAATTGGTTTGTTGGTGTAAAAAAAGGGATATCGTCGAGTAGCTTAGTAAAGAACCTGTTTGGTTTGAATTTGCAGGAAACTGTCTATCTTCAGGCCCTTCTATTATGCAAACAGAAGGGCAAGGATTGCGAAATAATGCGCCTACTTGACAAAGCGACGGATCTGCACTTCAAGAGATTGAAGGTACCAAAAGGTTCGGCTTTAATAACTGTATGTAGGATCTGCCGCACTCCATGGATTACTACATTCAACTCAATCCAGACTTTTTGTTGCAACTCGTAAACGCCTATTTAACTCTTTCACAGCAACCCCTTTTAATTATGTCTGATGGCAAGTTCTTAGCAAGTGAAGAAAATGGGCTATTATCTCTTTGGCCCGATGAACAAATGCTCCTAAATAGAGTAGAGCGTCTTCTTTTGCAAATTTTGGAGATTGCACCAGGTATCCAAAAGGCCACCTACCTCCTAGCTCGTGTTCATTTGCATAGGGGCAATTTACAAAGTGCCCTAAAATTCAGTCAAGCCGCTGTCGACGTCGATCCTACTTGTATCGATGCACATGCTCTACAGGCCACTGTAGGTCAATAATTCATTTACTTAAGCCTTAACTTCCAACCAGATTTATCTTTCCCAAGGGAATCTACGAATGGCTGAGCAAGCGCTTGAAATCGGCCTAAGTAATAACTTTGATCTCCGAAATCACCCGCTTAACAACCTCGTTCGAGCGGCAGTCTGTCTTAAAGGCGGCGAAACAGAAAAGGCCATCAAAGTGCTCAGTGAGACATTAGCTAATCCCGATGCACCGGGACGATCAGCCAAACCGTTGTCTAAATTAAACTACTCTGAATTTTGGATCACAATATACGCTGAGTTGATCTACGCCTACCGGAAGATGGGCAAAATGGTGGGTTGCCTGTGCACATACAGTGTACTTAAATTTAACAAGTGCTGTGTATTTACAACTTATATTTTTCTTTGTAGCGCGATGCTAGGCGGGTACTGGCAGAAGCGCGACAAATATATGCCAACACATTGGAGACGGACAGGCTTGCTATTATAGCAGCTGACATGGATTTGGCGGAGGGAAATTTGGAAGCTGCTCTTGTGCAGCTCCGCACTATCACCTCCGACAGACCTGGCTACATTTTAGCAAAGCAGCGAATGGCCGATGTATACCTTAATCACAGGAAGGAGTGGAAACTTTATATCGCGTGTTACAGGTACACCTTAAACTGAATGCTATGTAGGAGAAAATAGTGAAAAAAAGACTACCTCTTGGAGTTTGCACTTTTATTAGGGATGTCGAGTGTGAAAACTCCTTTCTCCAAGGGGGAATAAAATATGACGACCATAGGACATGAAATTCCCCCATAACTACCACCCATCCCAATGACAGCACCAACAACAAACATACACCTATGTGTGCTGTTAAAAAAGAATGAAATAGGAGGACGCTGTGGGAGTGGGAGATTCCTCTATCCACCTAAATATTTTTAGTAAAGAGCTGAATTTATCAACAGCAGCTGACAGATATTGGTCAATTTTGCATTGTCACAAGTTGTTTGTGTACTCTTGGTATATTCGCTGCCAAAACTGCAGCAAGAATCGGCGTATCACTCGTATTCCTCATGGATGAAGAATAGTAGATCGGCTAAATTAATTGCTTGGTTTTTCACTGTTGATTGGGGAACAAGGGGAAGACCCGCTGAAATACATATCTTTTACAGGCGGTTATTAATAAATCGTGTACTGGCTCCAGCCAGAGTTAGTGCAAATGCTACATATTGAGTTGTTTTGTTGAACAGGGAGCTAGCCGACACCTTGGACATGTGTGTCTTCGCACACCTCCTTCTGGGTGATGCGTACCTTCGGGTGGAGCAGCCGGAGAGAGCAATCGAGGTGTACGAGTCGGTGTTGAGATGGGAGCCGGGGGATCTGCGAGTGGCCAGCAAGATGGGCGAAGCACTGGTCATGACGCATGAATTTGAGCGAGCCGTACTCTACTACGAGTCAGCGCTTCAACGCGGTGCGCCGATTGGTCACAGTCCACTCCTGCCTGACCTCACTCTCCTTCTTGTGCGATTGAAGCAATTGGACAAGGCGCAGGAAATTCTCACTGCTGGTTTGGAGAGCATTAAAACCTGTAGGCTGTGGTGACACCAGATTTTGAAGTTGAGCGTCTATTGTTTTGTCAGGATTTGGATATATTAGGAGTAGACTGACATACGTGTCTATTTACACTTTATACTCCGAATAACAAGAGCACTGAATGATTCTCTCGGCAATATGATATAGAGTTTCACCAAATTATACTGAAATCCTCACGACTTTGGCTCATTTGATGTTTATTCTCAGAGCAGTTTAAAAGAATGGTGTGAGCTGGGTCCTGAGAGGCTATGCCCTAAAACGGAGGCACGAACTGCGGGGGCTAAAGAGCCCGCTAACTTGAATATACAGTAAAGTAAGTATCGAGTCACCGAAAATAAGCTAATGCTGAGCCATTTGTATGTATTGGATGAAGGGTACATATTCCTAAAAGTGCTGGCCTAATATTTATACGACATTTGTCTGCTCCAGTATGTAGATATCTTTAGCTTGCACTAAAGTCCTGACTTCAAGTGTTATTTCTTTAGCTTACCAAGCGCGGGAACAGTTCCTACTTCCTCCCCCCAATATCCTGAACCACAAATTAGTCTTAACATTCATCATTTACGTGTTGGAAAGGTTGCATTTTCGGGCTTACCTTGTAACACATCCATTTTATTCAATATTCCATCAGCTAAGCATTTTATTCGTAGTATTGTTGAAAGTCCAACTATTCGCCAAATTATCGGATAACGACTTAGTGTTACGGCTGAGGACTTAAACTATTTTAGAGTTTTTTAATCGTGCATTAGTTTTGACTAAAATTGGTTTGAATACATTTGCTACCAGAAGATCTCAGATGGAAAACGACCAACGCAGCCATCCAGATGCTTTATTGTTTCATTATTACTCGAAAATTTGCACAGCTATTGAAATGCGCAATTCAACTGCCCCTCAAACCTCAAAATGAACTGTCTATTAGCATCACCATTTGGTGTAAGCGGTTCTAGTAGAATGACTAGGAACATATGCCACACACTTGTGACGCCGAGTTCAGAATCGGAAGCCGAAATGTCACATATCCATAACGCAGGTTGAAAACGTGTAAATTCTTTGTAAAACATTATTGTAGCTCATCATTTCAACATTAGTTTGAATGCTATTGAGGTTATGCTCTATTCCTTTTGGAACTCATTCCAATCTCCAAGATTAGGCAATTACTGTTTTGTCGAAATCACACATTCACACAAACCTATTGCGGCTGCGTAAAGATAGAGCGTTTACTAACCCCTGGGTACAGATAATCGCTATCTGGAGGTCCTAACCTCCCCCAAGAGCTACGTATAGTTATATTCACTGGTAAAAATACAGCAATTATGGACTTCCCACGTGCTGTGGTTCTATTTTAACATGCACATCTAGTACAGGTACGAACCCATCAAAAGAGGTGTACGGGGTTGCCTTAACGGTCATGCAGATTAAAGGAAGAATGTCAGCGTACAAATCCTGGAATTCATGATGGTCCAGCAGCGCATGGAATCGCGTCTGTTTGATCACACCCAAAAGAGAAGCAGTTGTAGAACACACTGCCTATCTTCGTTGACCTAATAAGATGTGGACTTTCCGCGGTGATGAATAGTTTTTTTCAAAGGAAAAAGCGAAAACTTATTCCTTAAATTTTAATCACTTTAGGATTCATTGAGGCATGTATTAGCCGTAATATTGCGATCAAAAATTAAATATGTTTATTTTACACGCTATCAAGACTAATTTCGTTTGGACGCTGAAACCAAAAGCTAAAGAACTTCTCGAAATGCCCTTATTTTTCGTGGTGCCCCAAGACTTTTCTGGAGTTGCAAGAAGAAATAATACTAGGTCAGAATATGCATTGCCGACGTTCAGAAGGGCTGAGGGCCACTGGCACTGGTATTTCGCCCAGATCGGGAACTATTGGTGGAAAGGGAAATATGCTGGCCATCTCTTATGTCTGTTGCTACTCGTTAGAACACTGGCCTAAAATCGTAGTCATTTAATAAAGGATGATGCTTAAATTAGTTCCCTGAAGGGGTAATGCTTCACGTCTGTTCTTCTTTGCCACCTTGTTCTTACTTCAGTGCTGCCGGCTTTATCTATCTGGCTTCTGTCAGGTAGCAGAGAAGTGGAGGAGGTATTCCATCTTCACCTTGTTGACTTCTCCACACGGGTGTCGTCACGATCTTTTCCAGACGGTTCACTGGTATTGCCGCTTCAGTTACTAGTGTTCTCGTAGAACACAGCACTGGGGTAGTAACCGAAGGCATACGTCCTTCTAAATCCTTCTACTGGGAGTAGTCACAGATTTTCGCATCCACGGCAGATTTCCCTCTTTCATTGCATTAAGGTTTAGCATTCAGAAATAAAAATTGGTGGTTATTTTAATTCCTCACTTGACAATCTTAATATCTCTTTGCCGTGAAATTACATGGAACTTCTAAGGCCCTCGTAATGTTGATTTTCATCTTCCCTTTTTAAACTATTGCAGTTATTTCGGCTCTCCCTTTATCCTGCTTATTTTTGCTACTGATATGCGTTGTCTTTTTCGTCTTTTTATTTATGAAAAAGGCAAGACAATCCGTCCTACATTTTGGATGCAGCTCCTCACGGCCACACAAAGCCTCATTTTTATTGTACCATTGATCCCCTTCTAAGGCCAATGTCCTGAAAATGGCTTCTGGACAGCATAAAAGAAGGAAATGCTAGAACGTCAATCAGATTTACATTAATTGGGTGCACCTTCCCACCCGTCCTCTATCTTCAACCGCCAGCGTGTGTATTATTAGTTCAAACGCCAAAGTTGACCAATTTTCTTGCACTCTTGTTAGCCATTTAGGGTGGAGTATAAGATAGAGGAACCGAAAAGGGTCACAAAAACAGCATGCATTTGCGTAATGAAAAAAAGAGAAGGGAGAAAGAATGCAAGTTTGGAGGTATTTGGGCAAAAATATGATCTACTTTGCTGGAGAATTGCTGCAGTGCCACATAAACGTCGAGTGGAGAGACGTGGTTAATCACATTCTCCATTGTTCCTACTGATGTTGTGTAGCCGCGTAATTGGTACAAAAAAGCCAAACACGCTTTCTGGTACATAACAAAGACCACATATTCTACTTTTAAAAGAGAAACCCAGCAAATTTGATTCTCGAATTGTTTGTAATGATTCTGTCAGCTCTAGGGGCAGTGCGATGCATGTCAGTTTGAAAATAGCCTTATCATGAGGCCTTCAGAGGAGGTAAGAGATTAATAGCACCGGCGGCCTGAGGAGGGCTGCACATCACTATCTCAAAGGTCAAACTATGAGCAAGTAAAAAGCCTGTGTGACTGTGCAAACACTTCAGCATTTGATTTGCTGGTTTTCTCCCCTAAGGTCCGCGTCACAAATGTATGACAGGTGTTTTTTGGCAGTTTATTTTAACTGGGTGAACCAAATAGTGGAACCGAGAATTTTTTGGTGTAAAGTGTTTGAAAAACGTGGCATATTTTCGACCCAAGTAAGATAATAAAGTTTGCGAGTCCAGAATGGTATAAACATGGCACAACAATGACAGGTGGTTTCACACTGGAACGATAGAACAGTTAGATGGCTGAGGTGGTCGATTTCCCTCCTCCAGCACGGTATTTATGGCTAGACAAGATTTTCCTTCACAATTTAGCCTTTTTTGATGTATCGTAAGCGTAATACAAGAAGAAGAACAATTGTTAGGGAAGACTTGGTTCTACATGCCAAATCAGCGGCTTTGTGGCAGTACACGCTCGATTGAGTCCAAGTGAAGGGGGTGGGCAGGACTGACCATAGGATGGCATTCGAGGTCCTGGTATGTGGTGCGAATCGCGCTAATAAAGTATTTTTTAGCCCTCGCCCACTATTCCTCTCCCTGTGTGCCTGTGTGTGTGTGTGTTTGTTTTTGTGCATGCCGCGTACCAACCATCCTTCTTTAAAGTAGTGAAAAAAGGTGTATCCATTTTTTGTCCTGCGTTTTGGTAGTCTCCTTTTTGGGAAAGAACCAGTTATTTACTGGATTATTCCAAGCATGCCTTATAAAACCACTTATAAATGTAGACCCCCTATCGACGTCCGTACTTTTACTTACTAAGAAAACACATAATTCAAGGTTTCTTCCTTGCAACACTGAAATGATAGATGGCCTAAGTGAATGGCAAAGGATGTCTTTCAGGTAGCTATCTAACTATGGGGAAGTAGAACGACAGTTACAATGACTGCTCATCAATAATCATTTGTTCAGGCTATGGGCGATTTTGCTTCCAAGATGGATAGAGATAAGGCAATCCAGTTCGTCAATCCTCTGAGCATTCAAGTCACTTATAACTCCACTAAAGATCGCTCACAGTCGTCAATTTTTCAGCTTTATCCTTTCCCTTGATTTAGTCACGTGTATTGCAAGTTCAAACATTTGAGTAAAGTAGCGAGTGGGTTGTTGATTAAAACAGCAAAAAGTTCCTTCAATCACTTTATTTGCTGACATGATCTCCATCACAATCTACGACCTACGACCATCTCCCAAGGGATAAGATTACCGCCTGAATTCCAAATTGCCTCTAGAAGCTAGGATAAGATGAAGGCCTAAACACCTGGATTTCTAGCTGGCTTCTAGTTTTTAGCTTTACAATGGCAACCGCGACCATACCATCACGATCTTCCCGTCTCAGTTGCTGTACATGTAAACTCAATTTTTCATTATCCACGTTTGGGATAATCAGGAGTTGGTCTTGACAAGTTAATCCTCTAGAAAAGTTGGCCTTAAATCGCGTAAATTTCTTTTTGATCAAGGATGTAGGTTCTTCCCTGACATGATGTATCTGTTTTGCGTGACTCATCACCTGAACCAATTTGTTTAAAATATTTGGTTCAGGACAAAGCGTTCTGTTCCCCCCTTCCCTTACCCACTTTACACGCTAGGCAACAGAAGCTGCACTGGAAACTTTAACGAGGAAACCTAGTTAGGGTGGACGCATGATGTAGACAAGCAGAAATCACATCATTCGGATCCATTCAGCCGACGTTTGATGGAGGGAAAATAGGAGACAGGACAATAAGGGGTACCGAACTGATAGGCAGATGCGTGATATACACAAGCTTGCATTTCGCGGGTCCCTACAAGTGCATTCAAATCATTAAGGTAAGCTACATCAAAAACAGCTGAGAGAGATAATGATGCGGAGATTCTAGAAATCCCAAATTAAAAGAACTATGAGCCAGGATGTGCAGTTAACATTAAGGAAAGTGGTGTCAAGTTTATTCGCTATTTCCCATTGTTGCCTCCTGCTTCAGTCACAGACATCCCCGACCTTCAACGATCTACAGACCTACTAATCCTTCTTGGCACCGTGCACCAATTACAGGAGGATTATTCAAGACAGCTGGCTGCGTTTGGACAAGCCAGTAAGGTCATAGGTGATATTCAAAAACACATAACTGCTGAAGAGTCGTCGGATATTATGATTGCCTGTCGAAAGCTCCTAGTCAGGTAAGCTTAACTCCCCCCCCCCCCCACTACCTACACGA